AAAGATCTATAAGAAGACTGACCTTGTGCCAACAGAACGATTCCTGCTCCAACTATGACAAGAATGATTACAAGTTTGGCTGCAGTAAAGAAGTTCTGCACATAACTTGCCAGTTTGACACTCAAACAGTTGATGGATGTGATGATCACTGCAAAAAAACAGAAAATGTAATCATATATTTTCCCACCTATACATTTATAATTAAACACATTTTTCGAAGAAGACTTGGTATTAGGGGTTAGTTTATCTGATAATTCTAAATTGACCAAAGGTGTGAATGTGAGTGCAAATGCACGTGGAGCAAGCAGCAGCAACTGTAGAGACTTCAGGACCAGACTGAGTATTGACATAGGTGTTGGAGAGGTTGTTGAGGGTCACTTTGTTGCTGCCCAATCATCTACTGGCGGTGACGATATACTGGATGGGAGAGGGTGATGACCCTCGGGTCTTCCAAGCCACGCTGGAGGCATAACAGTGGCCTCCTGCAGAGTGAGCATCGTGGCTACTGCCGCCGCTCTCTGGAAAGGATGAGCCTCAAATGAGCCTGCCACTGGCCTTACGATAGAGCTTCAAGGGCATCTGCTGGGCCATCATGGATAACTTGGGCCTCTCCCCGGAAGACCACCATGAACGGTTTCGGGACAGTCAGATGAAGGTAGTGGAACAACTGTTCATGTGGTCCTGGAAACTGAATGACACAGCAGTGAGGTGGCTGTAGCCCAGGCTGTCAGAGGGAAACCACCATGAACTGGTGGTTCTGCAGCAGTTCATTGAAGGGCTGCCCAGGGAAATGGCACGATGGGTCTGCTCCCATCGGTCAACAAGCTTGGAAGCTGCGGTCACACTTGCGGAGGACCACCTGGCTGCGCAGACCAAGGGAGCAGAGAGCCACAGCCAGCCAGCTACCAGACCACAGCTCATGCAAGCACTCAGACAGAGGCTCCCCGACCCCTCCCCCGTGGAGCGGTCGCTGATGCTTCATGCAACAAACCAATTTTTACCTGGTCTGCTTGCCCAGGCCCTGGAGTGCTGGAAGGAGTGCGCCCGGGATCTGAAACGGGAGTGTCTGTTGAGGTGTTTCGCATACCCGGGGCTCCAAACCCCTCCCCTGGTCAAAGAGGGACATACAGCATTCCAGTAAGGTGTCAAGGTAGGTTTTGGTGGACATGGATAGTACACAGACCCCGGTCCACTAAACCCTGGTGGTGAATCCACTCTGCCTTCAATAATGCCCCATGGCGAATGGGCTACTAGTGAAGGCGGAGTGGATGAGGTGAACTGTGGTCATGGGGATCTTCGCAAGTTTCCCATTGTACCGCTGCATATAAAATTTAAAGGAAAAATGCATACAGTTAAGGCTGCAGATAACTCACGCCTATTGCATCCCCTATTTCTGGGAACAATTTGCCAGGGATGCAATACGAATGGCTATCCGGTGGATGGTCTACTCTGGGTATTACCTCCTGGAATGCTTATCTGTTTCAGGTCATCTCCTGAGTCGGGATCACCAAAGATTACTGACTGATCAGGGCACATCATTCATGTCTCACACACTTAAGGAGTTGTAGGAATTGTTGGGCATTAAATCTGTTCAGACCTGCGTCTACCACCCTCAAACTGACGAGTTGGTGGAGTAACTGAATAAGACTTTAAGTTCATTCACGAGGATGAATGCAATTGTGGTCATTGGTTAGACCCTTTGTTATTTGCAGTGAGGAAGGCTCCCCAGGGCTCCACAGGACTTTCAGCCTTTGAGCTACTCCTCGGCAGAAAGCCACAGGGGATGTTGCACCTGATTAAAGAAAACTGATAGAAAGGTCCAAGCCAAAAATGAGATTCAATGCATCCTGGACCTGAGAGCAAAGCTGCACACTTTGAGGAGGTTATCAGGGGAAAATATACTCCAGATCCGGGAACGTCAACACCGCTGACTCGGGCAATTTTCACCAGGAGACAAAGTGCTTGTATTACTTCCTTCTTTAAGCTTAAAGTTACTCACCAAGTGACAAGGACATGATGATTACGGGACATTAACTGTGAGGTGGTGCGGTCGGGGAAGAGCCACACAAATATGTCATCTCAACATTGTGCAAGCATGAAGAGAGGTGGAAACCGACTTTCTGGTGAGCCTGGTTAAGAAAAGGCTCAGATGTTGTTTGCAGATGTGTTTGCCCCCTGTCCGGCTGTATGAACCTCTCATAGAGCACCATTTTGAAACTCAGCCTGGTGTGACGGTGCGTTCACAGCTATACAGGTTACCTGAACATAAAACACACCCGAACATAAAAATGGGGATAATAGAAGAGTCACACACTACGTGGTGTAGCCCCATAGTTCTTGTGGTGAAAAAAGATGGGTCTGCATTGTACTGCAAAGTGAATGAAGTGTCATGATGTGATGCCTACCCCATGCCCCAGGACAACGAGGCTCTGGACCAGTCAGGCACAGCTGAATTTTTCATGCCACTGGATTTAACCAAGGGCTACTGGCAAATTCCCTTGTCTGCAGAGTCCAAGAAAAGAATGTCCTTCTCCACTCCGTAAGGATTGTACCAATTTGTAACACTTCCGTTTGACTTGTTCAGTGCCACAGCCACCTTCCAGTGCCTCATAGACCAGGTGTAGCGTCCACACGCTTCATATCCTGCTGCCTACGTGGAAGATGTTATCATCCATAGTCATGCTTGTGCATGTGCAATGGGTGGCTGGGATCCTGGAGTCCCTGAGGCAGCTGGGCTCAGATCCAACCTGAAGAAGTGTGCAGTTGAACAGAGGGAGGTCCAGTATTTGGGATACCACTTTGGGGGCGGACAGGTGCACCCAAAGATGGAGAAAACAGCATCCATCACAGCCTGCCCGTGTCCCAAGACCAAGAAGGAGGTGAGGCGGTTCTTGGGGCTGGTCGTGTACTACCACAGGTTCATGCCCGGAAGGGTGAACCAGATCTGGTCCAGTGGATGGAGTGGTGTCAGGCGGCATTTGTGTAGGTGAAGAAGCTCTTCTGTGGGGAGGTCCCCACACCTAACTTTTTTCCTCCCTTTTTGTCCTGCAAACAGACACCTCGAATGGAGGGCTGGCCGTTTTGTCCCTGCAGGTAAGGGGGGTAAAGTGACCGATCTTGTACATCAGCCAGAAGCTGACAGAGTGAGAAGGAGCTGGTGACAGGAGAGTGGAGTCAGCTGGAAAGTGTTTACCCCGAAACACTGTGGAAGCGTAACAAACAAAAGAAACTGTGGGATTATAATATTATTTTATGCCATGTAATACCCCTAATTAAAGATTGTGAATTATTATGTAGTTTTAGTTTGCATTATTCTCCTGAATTAGAAGAAAGTGATAACTATTGCATTTGTTAAACTGATTTGCATTACATTAGACTGCTGATTTATTGTGAATGAATGATATTGTTTTATGATGCATTATACTGCTGAGTTATAAGAAATACTGTTCGCAGAAAGTCATCGCCTTATTTGTCTGATTAGAAGAGAACACAACATACTGGAGTTTTCTGCCCCATCTCAGCAGGAGCAGATAAACAGGGAGCCAAGGTCGTAGCTTAGGCGCTGTGTGAGAGAAAGAATGTGAATGTTTAGGCTTTTATGATTAGGTGGGGGCCACTAGAGGCTATAAGAGTTTGATCAATGCTCCACCATTTTGAGATCTGATGCTGTCTGCGTACAGTGTCCATCTCCCACGCGTGTGATCATTAAAATCATCGTTTTGACTCAACCCGGCCGGACCAGTGTTGTTATTTTGGTTTTTCCTCTTATATCCATCCCCAATATTTGAATCTGTAACAAAACCCATAGCAAGAATACTGTGTGGTCTGAGTTGTGTGTAGGCATCACAGTTGGCTTTAATTATTTTAATTTCAATAAAAGTATTTTTTTTACATCTGCAAATTGGAGAGTGACATCGTTCTGGACACCTTACAAAGTAAGGCACACATTAGCTTGAAATGGCTAATGTGGCCTGAAAACCGATTGTCTTCACAATCACTTTGTGGTTTCCATTGTAAAGTATAGTCATGTATGAACTTCTAAAGTGACTCTGTACTTGTGTATAGTTTATTGCTGTCAAGCATGAACTTACATATAGCCGCTGCTGCTAGACACTTGGTGACAATTAAAGGTGGAGAGCAGCCAGGGTAGAAAGGAGTAGAGGTATATTCTGCAAAGCTCAGTGTGATGATAGCAAAGGATGAAGGCTTTAACACCATAATAGTTGTCCAGGAGTAAAGGTAGGCAACAATAGAGCCAAAAGCCTCCATGAAATAGGGGTACTCGCCGCCTGATTTGGTGATCATGGTTCCAAGTTCAGCATAACACAGTGCTCCTATGCAGCCACACATAAAAACACAAAAACACAGAAAGGAAAGTTGTAAAACAACATATAAGAAGGGACTTTCAAAACTTTGTATGAGTCCATGCATTCAAAGCAGTGGTAAGAAACCTTGCATGTCTGTGACACTCATATATGCTTGGCACACTCAATCGCTGTCATTATATCTCCCTTGCTTCTTATGCTCTCATTTTCAATGCTCTTCACCTCTTATTTTAGTTTTAATAAGATCAAAAGAAATGGTTTCAAATTTTTTTTTTTTTCTAAATTTTTGCATTACATTGCAGGTGCTTGTGCTTCCAGAAATATATGTAATATATGATATATATAGATATATATCTATATCTATCTATATAGATATAGATATATAGATATATAGACACACACACACACACACACTCACTCACTCACTCACTCACTCACACACACACACACACACACACACACACACTTCACCAGTGTGCCACCCAATTTCTGGGCTTTCAAGTTAGGTTGACCAGAAAGTATAGCTTCAGATCCATATAATTAGATTCAGGAAATCCAGATTAGATGGAACCCATTTTATATAAAACTCTGTCAAACTACAATAATCAAAATCTAAATACAACATAACTGAAATACAAACTAAAGCCATACTAAATAGCGTGTGCTAGTATAAATAGTACAAAACAAAAATTTTACTGACTTAGATCAGACATCTTTTGTTATTTTTTCCCCATTTAATTGTTTTCTCACATCAAACAGTTCACAGTGTCTGAGTGATAAAACAACGATGTTCTTTACGCTTTTCGGGAACATCTCCTTTGTATCTGTGAGCTTAATTGATCTGAAGACTAATGTGCACTAAAAATCCTCACAATAACGATTTTGACTTCAACAGCCAGTAAAAACATCTTCCACAATGAAAAATTATATTCCTGGCAGAAAACAAAAGGTGATACTGTGTGAGCTTGTTCCTATTCTGACCATCGTTATTTGTCTACATGACTTGAAAAGAATATTAGATTCCTGATATAGCAACAGAACTGGTTGCTGAATACAATGAAATATGAGTTAAAATGTTGGTCTCACCAAGAGTAGATAACACGCCGCAAGCAGTCCAGATTAGGAGGCAAGGTCCCACAGCTCCCGAGTACAGCAAAACAGACTTTGGGGAAATGAAAATGCCTGAGCCAATCATAGTCCCCACAATGAGACAAATGCCACTCAGCAGACCAACCTAAGCAAGCACATGAAAAATAAAAAATATTAATGTGTTTTTTCAGTTATTTAATGTCAGTAACTGTTTTCAGGAAACTATCATTCCCATGTGTTCTATAACATCATAATTATATTATAAAATAATAATTTTTTTAGCAACACCAGTTTAATGCGTAGCTGTGCTTCAGCTCTTGGAATCTGAAATAATAGTGGAAATAGTTGATGCACCATTTCCGTGTCATATTTTGATTTTAAGTTGGTTGACAGCAGCAGTTAAACTCAAGAACTGGTTGAATCAGACATCATTACATTGCCACGCTGAGTGAGGCAGAGTAAGCTGCTAAAGACTAAATTAAAGATGAAGAAGTCCCTTATCATTAAAGGCAAAATCCTCACATCTCACAACATGTGAAAACAAACAGCAATGCCACTTTTATAGGTAATTTCATTTTTTAGTCACTATAGATAGATCAGGCAAGAGATAAGGGTAATACACTAAACTTGTACTTTGTCTAAATCACTGCAAAAGTGTTCCAGATCTTTCTGTGGATCTCATACAGCCTTACCCAGTCATGAAAAAAAAACAAAAAACAGAGAGGCTTGTCATCTCTATACTTGTTTAGAAATTTCCCAAGTATCCTTGAGAGGAGCAAAGAGCTGGTTTAATGTTCCTCAACCAGAGTGAAACCACATTTTTCATTCTGAATCTGAGGTCCAACAAAGGGGCAGACTCTTCTCTTTTGTACCCTTGCATGCATCTTGTAAGGGAGGATACAGAGTATGGTCCCGTCTTCATAAAAAGGATGACCACCACTTTAGTTTGCACATTCAAAGACACCACCTTGACCACAATGTTTCAGAGGCATGTCAGCACACACCCTGATATCCCTTTGTTGGTGTTGATCTGATATCATCATAATAATTTTGGAGGAGGATCCAAGGATCAACACAACAACCAACAACCTCTGAGTTTTCAGTTAGTATTTTCCAAGAATTTGGCTAATCCTATTACATTTTCACAAGTAAACCAGCATGAGTAATGTAAACTGGCTAAAGGCAAACCTAACTTGATAGTATATTTATTATATTGTATTGATTAATAAAGAAATACAGAAAAGACACATCCTGGGGTTATTGAATCCAGGTCACTGACCAGTGTCCGTGGCACCAAAGAGATAATTAACTAGTTCAGCTTACATTCCACTAACAGTAAGAACACAGGAGGAATGTCACACAATCAATATGAAAAAATAAAATAAAAATTACACACTCTTTCAATTCTAATTGTTTTTTTTATCAAAACATAATAGGAAAAAATGGTTTCACAAAACATTATACTTTTTCATTTATTTAACAAAAATTAAGCCAAAATTCAAAAAGCAGTATATAAAAATAATAATAATAGAAAACTAAGTATACCTCATTCAGTGAGAATTGAGTACCAGCCAAATGCCAATAATCAAATACACTTTTACACAATTAACTGATCATCAGCAAGTATGACCACTTCTAAGAGCAGAAACATTGTCAAGTTGTGGGTCTGAAGCATTCAAGTGTCTGATAACACAATGTTGTAAAGGAAAGACATTAGTAAAAATGTTAAAGAAGCAATTATTACTGCCAATAAATCTGAGGTTTCAAGACACTTCCCAATGTTTTCAAGAGTGAATATTCCAGAAAATTCACCCTAAGGTGAAAAAAGACCCCCCAAAAAACAAGAGCTGCGTCTCAGAATCCACAGGCCTCCGCTAGCATGTTAAATGTTGCGGATCATGACAGTGCGATTTGAAAAAGACTATACAAACATGGTTTGTGTAGAAGGGTTGGAAGGACAAAGTGTCATGGTCCTGGGTCGTGTGACCCCGTGTTGAGTTTTATGTATCTTTTGTATTCATTTATGCTTTAGCTTAGTTCGTCTAGTTAATTTCTAGGGTGCTGTTTAGCCCTTTGTTTCTTAGTTGTTTATGTCATCTCTGTGTTTCATGCAGTCTGTGTTGCGTCGTCTGTGTTCCCACCCTCCATGTCCTCACGGCCAGTCTTTACAGTCATCTTCATGGTTTTCTTGGGCTACGTTCACACTGCAGGTCTTAATGCTCAATTCCGATTTTTTGATCAAATCCGATTTTTTTGTCTGCTCGTTCACACTACAAATAAAATGCGACAGCAAACGCGCTCTAGTGTGAACGCTCAAAGCGGCCCGCATGCGCAAAAGAAGATGTCACACACAACGCGCTCTGTTTAGACCCAGAGCAACAGTATTGTTTGACTGATGGCCCTTAATATAAAGACTTCGGACTTCACGTTTCCCAAATTTTGCTTTAAGTTCTTTTGTTATTTACATAATAATGTAAATAACCTAACAATGATCCTTATTGCTGTTTAAGAGAGGAGCGGTGCTTCAAAGGATAGCTGCAGATTTCTGTCAGAATCTGCAGATTATACAGTACAAATAAAATGTTTACGTTGTCTTCCCAACAGTTTCACTGGCATCTACACTGGATGGCCAGGAAGCGTTCGCGATGTCTTCTCGGGCGCTTCTCCGGCGCTGAATTGGCTTCAGTCTTGTGTCGGTGACGTAAAAGGCGGATTTAATGTGACTTGACCATTCAAACAGCAGTCGCTTTCTAAAACATCGGATATGTATCGGATTCAGTACCACATACGAAAGTGACCCAGATCGGATTTGAAAATATCGGATTTGCGCCGTTCACACTGTCATACCATGATCGGATATGGGTCGCATAGGGTAAAAAAAATCGGATTTGATGCGCTTTCGCCTGCAGTGTGAACGTAGTCTTCATAGCTTATCAGTATCTGCTTCCAGTTTAGTTTAAGTTCAGTTTAGTCACAGTATTTCTGCTTTGTTTGAAACCTGCTCTCTTGTGTTCGCACCTGGGTCCACCACACACCACCGCACGGTCTGTCTCCTCAGATCGTGACACAAACCCTTTTGTATCTAAAAAGAACATGACAACACAGCTAAAGTTTGAAAAGTTGCATGGGTTGCCAGGTGAAATTGTTAGGGAACAATGTCCTTTAGACACACCATATCAACACAAACAACTTTTGACAAATATTTAGCACACTAGTGGAAGGGTAATGGTTTAGGTGACTTAGGCACCTTGTAGTCATTTAGTCAACCACTAACTCCTGTATACAAAAGTATTCTAGAGTCAGATTTATCTGTCCAACAGCTAGCTTGACCAAAAGTGAGTTATGAGCCAGGAGAATGACCCCAAACACATCAGCAAATCTGTAACAAAGTGGCTGAAAAAAGAAACTAATCATGGTGCTGAAGTTCCCTGTCTAAGTCTTGAACCTAATTGAAAAGCTGCATAAACAAATATCTACAAACTTTAGAGCACTGAAGCAATATTGTAAAGAAAATTAGATGGAAAAATCCTCCACAATAATGTGAGAGACCAATAAGATAATAGTTATTTCAAGTTATGGCAAATAAAAGTGGTTCTACAAGATACTGAATCATTGGGTGTACTTAGTTTGTCCACAAACTGCTTCTGCATTTTGGCTCAGTTTTTGGTAAATAAATAATGAAACATTATAATATGCTATGTGTTTTGTTGATTTAATGTTTATTTAAATCATTTTAGTACCTGGTAAGGACTGGATATTTTTTTTACTGTCTTGACAAGGCTCGCAAAATTTTAAAATCTCTGGTAGCCATTCGGGCAGGCATTCTTCAGTTTTTGGAAGCCCAAAATAAATTTAGTAGCCCGAATAAAAAAAAGAGAGCAATTTTTTGATTGATGTTTTGTTTCCGTTACAATATTATACTTTAATGTATAATATTGGAATGGAAACAAAAATTAATCAAAAAAATTGTTAAAATACAAATCACAACAACTGTATAAAAATTACAACCATCAACTCAAATACTTGGTTCAAATTGAACAGAAATTTCTATGAACTTGTAAGAATCAGTCTGTGTCAGATCCTGAATCTTAAATTTCCACTGAAGTCATGGGTAAGAGGCAAGTGGAACCAAGATCTAGGCCATTTGCTTTTTGAAGTTTGCAAAGACTGCTAAATTTTGCCAATAGTAGTTCACTCTTTCCAATATAGCACGCTGTTCTAAACAGCTTTTTCAGGAGTTCTTGTTGTGCTTGGTTTATTTTTTGTATGTTTTTTTGCAATTGCCGTTTGTTCTGGGAAAGATACTGCAGACTGGGCAATAATGCATTTCTTGCATTTCTCATGGGTTCTGATGAGGTCTTTCTTAAAATTACTGGTCCCAGTAACAAAGGCGCTTGTCGACTCAGAAATCAAATGAAACTCACAACATGCCTGGCAGAACATCATGTTATTTAGCTTGTCATATTCCAGCCACAGAAATTCTTGTGTCCATGAAACCAAAAAAGCTGCGCTTTCTTTTTGCCTCATAGTCTGATTTGTCCTAACTTTTCCGTTTTGTGGTAAGCTTTTCTTTAGCTGCCCCTTCTTCACCCTGACCTGTCTTATTTGGCTGAGCAGAACTAAAATACCAGCGTAAATCCTGCTGCTTTTACACACATACTTACATAACGGTCAGCGATTCTTTGCACACTCAACCTCTCACATGTTTAAGCTTGCTGCGAGAGATTTCACTTGTCACTTTTGAATAGTAAGCTAATGAGTGATAAGACGATGTCAGAGGAATTGGTGCGCAATTAATCGTCACTCACCAATCAGTGCTGCTGCTCTCTACACACCGTTAGCACAATTGCAAAATGAAAGTGAAAGCAAAAAACAAGCGCAAATTCAAACGCAATTTCAATATGTCACATATTGACAGTGGCTCATCGATGCCAATGACATAATTACTCAGCTACATTGGCGAAAGAATGCAAAAGCATAGACATATATTTTCCTTCCTATGATAGCCCGACGGGCAGGGCAGAGATAGATTTTGGTAGCCCGACTGGAATTAGGATTGATGGAGGGTTACTTTTACCATGACTGTAAATGCCGATATAATAAAAGAAGACAGAATTAAGAAGCAATAAAAAAGCAATATCACATAAAAACAAGTCTATAAAATGTGTTTAAAGAAGAGACCAAAGTAACTGATTTTCTAAGCCTTATCTCTTCAGGTAGGTCATTCTAAAGCCTAGGGTGTGGTCACTTTTAGGGCCCTCCCAGAAGGGCCCTACCTGAGGATATAAGGATGCAAACATTGGGTAAAATCTTAAAGATCTATTAAAATAAACAGCGATCTGGTGGGGCTTGATATAAAGATACAAAGCCAGTGACTTTTCTTTATGCCAGAAAGAGAATTACAGAAGTCTGCAGGAAAATATGTGTGAATGGACTTTTCCAGGATGAGAGCAACGACTATCATAATAATCCTATTTTAACCTGAGAAAACCTTTCAGTTCCCATAAGTTTATTTTAGGTCTTATGGAGCTTATTAGGGGTCTGGATTGCACTGCTGAGTGGATGATTATGGAGTTAATCTGTAGAGACGCTTGCTGTGGTACTGCCTGGTACTCAGTTCCAAGGCTCAATTATTGTAAAAGGTAAGGATGATCCTTTAGTGTGAAAATTTAGTGAGACTTGTTCTCAGGAACCTGCATGTATATAAAAGTCAAGCACACTGGTTCATACTTACATCTTTTTGAAGGGCAACGGCCTTCACCACCTCCTTGTTGTCTTTGGTAAGGTCAGTGGAGCCATTCTGTGACTCCTTTCTCTTCCTTATTCCACTTTCATCCATAGCAACACACTGGTCTATGAGGTAACATAAGTGTTGACACACATTACAGACCACTTGCATTAACTTTTACAGGAAACACATCTTTGTTGTCCCTATAAAAGGTTATCATGACATGATAACGTTTAGAGGGAAAACTATGCTCTTCCATGGGCAGTAAATGTTCCCTTTCATCAAGATACACAGTGACTCTCAGAAACAAGAGCTCACTAAAAATCCACTCAAAGACAAATCAAAACTAAATTTGTTCACACATTGATTCCCATAATCTTACAGATTTAATTACATTACCAGGAACAGATGTGGCTCAATTGCACAAATTTTGATTTTAGTCAAGTCAAGTCAAGTCAAGTCAACTTTATTGTCAATTCTGCCACATGTACAGGACATACAGAGAATAGAAACTATGTTACTCTCAATCCCTAGATAAAAAAGCAAATGAACATTTAAATATAAGAGTGATTAAAAAATGCAGGTAAAATAATTAAAAAGTAAAAATTTAAATAAATAAATACAATACAATTTTACATATAACAAGAAAGCTATACAATATACAATATAATGGGTAAATGACAGAGTTTAAAGAGTTTCACCACAGTATTAACCTCATGCAGTGATATCTTAGACTAATCATCAATAGAGCAGCTCAATAACAGCCTTAAAGAGATCCCTAAAATATCTTTAGAAGGGTTTTGGGTTGATTTTAAGTTTATTATAAGGTGATTCAGCATGTAAGCATTGTTTGTGTGGAGCTTTTAAACAAATATAATAGCAATTTTTAACAAATGTCCCTTAGAGCTGTATTAACTGTAATCCTTAACATTCATTAACTATTTGAGAGTCAAAGGGTTAATTTTAGTGATTTTTTTGTGATTTGTAAAATTTGGATTTTGTAAAATTTGGATTTGGTGCTCTTTAGTGCAGTAATGATCAGCTCATATGCTTCATATGCTTTTTAACTGGGGAAAACTGTGAATATATTACTATTGTAAACATAGACTCCAACTTAGTCATACTAGGAGAACTGGTACAGACCGGCAGTAAGTCAAACATTATAAAAAGAATGGGGAGAGCTGAAATGTGTCTTACTCTGACACTCAGTGATAATATTTAAATACAAATTGTAGGAAAGAATTGCTTGAATGTAATTACATTTAACAGTAGCTCTGCATCACCACTATCACATACTATGTAATACATGATTATAAAGAAATGCACATTTAAAAAACATGTTTTAACTTACTTAACTTACTTGAAGAAAACAAAAACCTCAATGTTGGTCCATGAACCTTGAATGCAGCTTTTCCAAACCCAAGTGCAGTGTTGTGAACACACAAATTATGTTAAGCTAAGTTCAGTGAAGTAGAGCAGAAATGTCTGATGAAAATTGGGGGGGAAAAAACGAAAATCTCCATGAGACTGAGTAACTCCTCTGGTGGGAGGTTCCCAAATGTGATTGGACAGCTCTACATGAGAAGGGGGATGGGTTAAGGCGAAGTTCTAGCTTCATGAAATCTATTGAGCAGAAGCTTTAAAAAGGTACTGCTTTGAATTACACAGCAGATTTTCTTAACTCATAATATTGTGCAATAGCAAAATTTTATACATATGCAGCTCCCCAACTTTGTAAAACAGTAACTGAGAGTAAGAATATAGTGAGAGTCTGACGGCAATACTATAACCATAAAAAAAGAAAATCACATGATAAGCTTTATTTCATTTAATTTATACCCTTTTGTTTCTTGAGGGAGATCACTTAATCTGTTACTCAGTGAGCACTCCAAGAATCCCAGTAAGAAACTAAAAGTGACACAACCAAAACACCTATTACGTTTTTTTCTGTTTTGTTTTTTGATACTCTGAAAGAATTCCTTCCTTCTGAGTTTACCTAGCCTGACTTCCTTCACAATGCCTCTTTGATAAGGATATGTGACACCCCTGCAGTTGTGTGCTTGAACATTTGTGAGTTTGTGTGCTCATGTTTGACATTCCCTTTCCACTATACATGTTCTTTTACCTCTGAAAGAACATGTATTTTAGGCTGTAAAGTTAGCTCTGACTAGGTCACCTTTAAATATACCTTCAGATATTATTATACAAATCTTTGCTTCATTATGACATCCACAGATTCTATTACAGACATTAATATTCAATGAAATGAGTGAATCAAGCTAAAAATGAGAAAGCTTTGTATATTGTTAGAGTGAATGAATTGTTAAATGTTTGTCATTTTTATGTTTACCATTTGTACATTGTTTTAACTCTGATGAAAGAAATTCCACTGTCCTTCCCCCCAGATTCTCGAGGTTCTAGGTGGGGGGCTGTAGTCTTTTATCACAGACACATCCTTGTGCTTTTGATGTAAGCTTCCTGCGTTTACGACCCTTTGGTCAGCAGGAGGTCTGACACACACACACACACACACACACACACACACACACACACACACATTACTTAGATACAGAAGTTCACACATATACATACAATGCCTTGTCTTGGAACCAAGGGGGCGTGGCTTTGTTCTGACGTGTTTTGTGTGAACTGTCTCTCAATAAAAGGCAGCAGGAGGAGGTCAGATCTAGAGGTCATTTTCGTGGTGGACACAGACGAGGCCTCCCTTGCGCAAATAATTGATCGATCGACTGTCTTGTTTTCTTCATGATGAATAAGTCTCTAGAATTACCGGGGCTTGTGGAAACACAGACCCAACATATATAGGATCATATTATGTCTTATGTGAATAATCTTGTATGATCTGTGATGTAAATGCAAGTGCAAATTCAAACAAATGCCTTAACAAAAGTGAACATTGCAGAATTGTTGTGCCTTGTGATAAGGGCAGACAATGACCTGTTTAATTATGTCATTTCATACGCATCTGTTTTAAGAGATGATGGACTATGGCTCTTAGGGGATTTGCAATAATGATAACTGTGGTTCAGATAAGACATGATAAGATGAAATAATCCTTTATTAGCTCCACAGGATGGGGGGGTTCAGTCTTAAAGCGGCACAGAGATAGACGCATAGAGTCAAATAAAAAAAATACTAGTATCTGTAAAAAAATAAAATGTGGTTGTAGTTGTTGTGGTGGTTGTTGCCATCTCCCTTGGACTTTTACCACATGCTGACTCATTACATAAATGAATGGGGAAATTCACGTGTTTACGTCAGGCATTCAGTTTTACTGGAATTGTGTCATCTCCATGACAAATGTAGATGCGTGATTCATGACTAAACATCACTTTAATCCAATCATCTGCACTCAGTGACTGTTTCTTTAGCCCATTACAAGCTTGTTTTCTCTTGTTTAGGTGTTAGTACTGGTTTTGTTTGGCTTTTTTGTATGTAAATCCATTTAGCCCATATCTTACAGTTCTCTCACAAATTTGACTACAATTTTCCTGTTGTGCTTGTTTTTTTTTTCAAAGCATATTTCCATGTCCTACACATCTTCCCATGTCCACCTGTATAGTTTCGCCTTAATACCTTTTCCACTTTGATTGAATTTTCTTCAAATTGTAGATACAGCTAACTGAGAATTACCAACATCTCCATGTTGAATTTCCTTCTTGAAGGACTTGTATATTTAATTTAAATATTTAAACTGACAGATCTCTTGTTGGAGGAATACTTCCTTACAGCAGCTTGTTAAAATTTGCAAACAATCTTTTTTTAATTTTTATTTTGAGTGGTTTGATTTGTGCAGGCATTGATGCAAATTCAAAGATGACTCCATATTAAATGTTTTTATTTTTGTTTGTTTTTTTCTGTATGTGATCTAGATTAAAATGCTTTATCAAGTATTGTTGGGTCTATGTTTCCACATGCCCCGCTAGTTTAGAGTCAAAAAGCAGCTCTTGGAGCTCACACTCCTCACCTGTCCCATAGCCCAAATCCTTCAAAGAGCAGCTTCCCTCGCAGCTATTTATTGACAAACTGTTACAATACACATCACAGCAAAAGCACCTCCCCTCGTAAGACCCCTCTTGATTACAAAGACAAGGCACTATGTGTGTATGTGTAGGCACGTGTATGCATGTGCAAGAACGTGTGTGTGTCTATGTGTGTCCATGTGTGTGTTTGGGTGAGTGTGTGAGAATGTGTGTGCGTGTGTGTGTGTATGTGACCTCCTGCTCACCAAAAGGGTCGTAAAAGCAGGAAGCTACAACACAAGAAACAGATCTTCCAGATAGAATGTATCTGCAGTAAAACCTCCAAAAGCACAGAGTGGCTGGAGAAGTGGTCAGAAACAAAGGAATGGCTTTGATCCTACAGTTTGAACCAAGACAAATTTAAGAAACACAATGACAACATTCAACAATTAGACTTAACAAGTATTAAATCTACTAACCTCAGCCAAGGAAGAGTTATGGAGGACTTTTGTCTTTCACCAACAGCACTACTGATTGGACTACAGGCAGCCATTTCAGCCTTGTTACGCATAAGCCTCACTTTGTTCACACTGTGGGTGTGTTTATGGGTGTCATCAACATCACACATAAATAATAAATTATACTGATGGAGATCACTTAATCTGTTACTCAGTGATAATGATAAGCTACATTAAGGAATTATAATCCTAAAGTTCCAATTAAACACCTAAAAACCAATCAAATATACCCCCACATGCTCTCATCTCTAGTCATTAGAATCTTGAAGTTTTCATTTGACCTCTGTCAATGGAAAATTGTATTTAGTAGTCAGTATAATCTTTTAGTGATATAAGTTTGCATATGATAGAATACTGCATGTAGTTATTTGTATTAGGAAATATTCAACCATGTATACTTAGAGGCATATAATCAATTGTGTGTGATCTCTAACAGGCTGCAGGCTTGGTGTGCACTCCAGGAATGCACCCCCACGTCCTGGGAGCATGAGAGTTCGTACCTTGTCTTATTGTTTTACGGCAGGATTAACGTAGCTATGTCTGTTTTAGTTTAAGTGCTTCTTTACATATAGATGAACTGCTGGATTTTCCAGACCAGCAGGCTAAGGGAAGTTGTTTATGGGGTCACACTCTGACCCTTTGATCACACACACACACACACACACGCACGCACCACTGAAGTATAAATAAAGACCAGGGCAAAGCTCAGCGCGAGTCTCAGTCTGGAGGCTGCCCTTGCTAGCAAGAAGTTCTGTGTGTTTCTCTTCTCTGAGTCTTTACTGAAGAAGTGTTTTAGAACATTTTCCTTAACAACCTCTGTCCACATGTATTTTATTAGTTGTATCTTGGCCTGTCGATCCATCAGTGAAATGGAATGATTTTATGTCATTTTTGAGATTAAGTTTGAAATAATAATAAGGTGAAAAACCAAACTAACTTCAGATCTGGTTAGAATTATATTTGGTTTTGAGTGAGTTAAGAATGTGTATATTTGTACAGATTGGGGTCCATTATGTGTCTCAACAACTTTAGAAGTTAACACAGGATCAATTATTTATATAAGTTCACACTTTACTGGGTCTTACCGGGAATGCTACTATGTGCTTCTTTGTGATTTTTGCAGCAGGTAAACAACACATTGAAACAATGCTGGTCTGAACATTCTGTCCTCCAGGAGATGTTTAACTCTACCACCATCAATGTGTCACAAGAAAAAAACAACAACAAAGGTGAGGAGGATTACTACAACAATTACAAAGGAATATACCCTCTAGTGATTGATGAAAAAGTGTTTAGTGTTAAACTAGAATTCCTAGACACTTTTGCTGTCTTCATTGTTCCTGCTACTCGTATGTAACTTTGAAATTGGCAGGATATTAAAAAGGCCTATAATGTTCAAGCTGCTTGAGTTGAGTTGGCTCCACTTGTATGTTCCTCAGCTTGATGCGATCTTTCCTGAAAAATATGATTAACCACATTTTTGGGAAATCTCAGTTCAAAATCCCTGCCAAATCTGTTTAAAAAAAGAAATTACATAAATAGAACCTGTCTAACAAAACTAGTAATTTAAAAGATATCAAAAAGCAGCACATCATGCACTGTAAAATCTAATTAGTTCCCAGAACTCAAAAAAAATTGAGGAAACTCGTTGCCTCAAAAAAATTGAGTAAAGCTTAGCTAAAAATGACTAAATTAGGACAACTTATTTATTTTGAGTACTCTATACAGGCTCATTTGTTCCCAGAACTCAAGAAAATTGGATCAAGTTTACATAAGATGACCAAGTTAGGGCAACTTACTCATTTTGAGTACACTGTACAGCCTTGTTAGTTCCCAGAACTCAAAAAAATTGAGGAAACTCGTTGCCTCAAAAAAACTAAGTAAAGCTTACTTAAGATGACTGTTAGGACAACTTATTCATTGCAAGTCTGCAGTATTAAGAATAACTTGATATTTCTGACTGTACAATACTAATTGTTTACGTCTGTGAAGGTTCTCAGTCATCCAGGTCATCGTAGTCAAAGGAGCTTGCAAAGAAAAGCGTCTGGACTTCTTTAAGTTACTTGAAGACGTTTCACC